CAACACCGTCCGGTTAAGAACGGAGTGACTGGAGCGAAAAAGGAGATCCTGCGGAAAGGTTTAAGAGTAGAAAGGTTTGAGGTCTTCTATGGCAACCTTCCCTAGGGAGTTCCCCTGGAGATTGCTTATGAGGTAGACCACTCGTGTTAGTGCCTTGCTAACGACGAATGGTCCGTGGAACGGGGTAGCTAGCTTGGCGGAGTGATTTTTCGCGGCTGAAGACAACACGTGTTGCCGCTTAAGCACTAGGTCCCCCTTTCTGTAGCGGTGATCGCGATGTCGCAAATTATAGTAACGCGATTGGCGCTGGAACGCGGCGTCTAGAGCGTGCACTATCCAACCTCGCCAGACATTGAGGTGTTCCATCCTCTTTAGAGAGATTATGGCACGGTTCTTCCGGAATTCGGGGTAAAGCGTCCGGTACGTGATGAAGCGCGCCCTTGCGGTGCATGATTGTGAACGTGTACTCTAGCAATTCCAGATCCCATCGAGCCAACCTCCCAGTCGGGTTCCTAAGGTTACGGAGCCATCGCAAGCTGCTGTGGTCCGTGATATCGGTGAACTCGTAGCCCTCTAGGTAACACCGGAATTTACGAATGGCCCATATAACCGCGAGACACTCTTGTTCAGTGACCATGTACTTCCTCTCGGCGTCGGTTAGGGCACGACTGGCGTATGCGATTACCCTTTCGTCACCGTCGCGGGCCTGAGTAAGGACGGCTCCGAGGCCCACACTACTAGCGTCGGTCTGGAGCGTAAACGGGAGAGTGAAGTCAGGGCAGGCCAATGTTGGCGCTGATGTTAACTGAAGGTTTAACTCGTCTAGAGCGCGTTGCTGTGGGCAACCCCATTCCCGTTCTCTTTGCTTTCTGGTGAGCTTGGTCAGGTGTTCAGCGGCGGCACCGAACTCTGGGATGAATCTCCGATATCATGAGGCCACTGCTCGACCCTGAACCCTCATTTGGAGGACTGATGCGGTATCAATGATACGTTCATGCCCGTCCGCGACGACGACTTGCCGAGGCGGTACGGTGAACGTCGATAGCACTAGCCGCGTAACTCGTTCAATAGTTCCGGGCCCGAGAAAGGACTTGCTCGCGCCACAGTCCACTAGATCTTCTAGAGACTGGCCTCCGATCTGGATGGGGGTGTGGAACGCCCCAGGGTGCGCACTTCTCAAGGTCGCCTGTAGCTCATCTGGAATCTCGGTCCTGCTAACGGTGGTTACCAGCGGTGGCTCTGCTGCCGAATTAGGGGATTCCGCCGTGTCGGCCGTTTCTCCCCTCGGGGAGGGTGCATACTCGGAAGGCCCGATGTGTCCGTTTTGGTGATCCCGCCCATCGATAGCGGACTCACTGGGTGGCGTTTCCCGGGTTGCAGTATGGACACTTCGCGGTTGTTACTCCTGGGCAACGGCAACGGTAACAGAACAGCCTCCGCGGTTCGGGGCATAGACGGTGTCGATGGCCCGCTCTATCGCAATTCCAGCACTTGAACTCGCCCGCAGGGGTTGGTCCAGGCCGAGGATTTGGGGCCGATTCTCGTGGGGCGGGTATCGTGGCTAGTGGCCCCGGTAAGGTGGTCGTGGGGGTTGGCGCTATGGGTGGTCAGGCCGCCGAGGTGGGCCTTGGCGTTCGTGATGCGTTGGCCGTAGGGGTTGGTGGTCGAGGCGCGGCGCACCGAGGTAACATGGCTACGAACTGTTCGACGAGGACGTCCCCGGAGTCCCTTACGAGTTCCTCGTCCTCGTCATCCCCTTCGCCGGTTACTTGTGCCATATTGGCTAGGGCGCGGCGGATTGGAGTCGGACGACCAGAGGGGGTACGAGGCCCGGCGTACGCGAAGCTCGGGCACAAGGAGTCGTGCGGTAGCGGTGGTGACTTATAATTTGCCACACCCTGGAACACTCGTTCCTGTCGCGCCGCGGAAACCTCAAGGGCGTCCATCGTTAGGTGTTCGGCCAGAGGTAGCACTAGTCGATAGGCTGGCAACATATTACGGTGAGTGTACCTCACCCTCTCCCATTCAGAACATGCCGGCTGTATACGGGAGAAAAGGCCATTCATACAGGCGATGTACTCAGAAACGGACTCCGTCTCCCCTTGTGTACGACTTGAAATATCTACATGAAAAGCTATCTGGTAATCGGGGTCCGCGAAACGGTCGCGCATCGCTTGGCGGGCCGATTCCCAGGTCGAAAAGTACCCAACATGTCCGCGATACCATATCAGGACGCTGCCCTCCAGGGTGAACGGCAAGGCTCTCAGCAGGTCAGTGTCTCGGATCGCCAGAAACTTCCGCCCTTCCTCTATACGGGAAATAAAGTTCTCTACGTCCTCCCCACGGCTTTCGGTGAACTTGAACCCCCAGGAGAGTAGAGTGCGCAGCACTGCGGGTGCGGACATGGGGCGTCCACCCGCGGCGAGGAGGTCGTCCTCGTCGTCTTCGGGGGTGAAGGTATGTGACGGTGGTATTAGCATTTGGCGGGTTGACTGGGGTTGGTGGTCCCCCTGGTGAGGTCCCCCCGTCGTCTCGCGGTGTCGGGGTTCCTCGCGTCCCGCCCGTCCCAAACTGTGGGGTGGGACGTCGCCCTGGAGTCGTAATTTTTCCAGTCTGGTACGGTCGTGTTCCAGCTGTCGCTTTCTAGCTTCGAGCTGTCGCCATTGGTCCTCCAACATGAGGCGTTGGTCGTCCAACTGCCGATGATATTCCGCTACCAAACGCCTCTGGGTTTCCGTCACGGGATTACCGTCCAAATCGGGATTAAGCCCCAGCGGGATTTTTGTTTCGCCAATTTTAGGGGAGAGTTCGGGAGCGGTCGCGGTAGCCTTCAAGATACCGGCGGTAGCGAGCGAGAACACATCTGAATCGCCCCCGCGGGCCTCGGGCAAGCTCGAGTGCTGCGACCCGGTGTCCCCTATGGGCACCTGTAGCTTTGCTTCCTCCATTTCGGCTAACCTCTGCTTAGCGGGCATGGTCGGAGCGCGGCTCATGGGTTTTCCTATTCGCCTCGTCCACCCACCCTGGTCTTACCCGCGAGGTCATTATGGGTCTTATTGGGGAAGACAGTCCCGATCTATCGGCCTGAGCCTACTGGGGGTGGAAAGTGAGGATAGTAGCGCCCGGTGGGGTACGGGTTCAACAGGAGTCCCTTTGCCTTCGCTACCCGCTATGGCAGCCAAAAGGGGTAAGGGTAGAGATTACTATAACGTGAAGGAGCAGAAAAGGGAACGGGTTTTACCTGAATACTGGAACGGTAGCAGGAAAGGAAAAGGTTTTCACACAAAAGTGAAACTATAACTGGGAAAGGAAAAGATCTTTCACTTATAACGGAGAAAGGAATGCTATTAGGGGAGCGGGGGGCAGAGACATATAGATATGTATGTAATGATAATGAGTTTATTATTATGCTAAACTACTAGCCCTATCCTAAACTACCTTATTCTAATTACTTAACCTACTCACGGCTACGGGCGAGCACGCGGGCGCTGGGATAATGGCGGGCACCTCGTGGCGGTGGGTCGGCGGCGGCGCGGCATCTCGGGACAGGCCGGGTCGGCAGCGGCGGTGGGCCCTCACGGCTGAGTCGCTCGGTCGGTTAACGGGAGCGGTCGGGATGCCGAGTGCGGACCGTGGTCCGGTTCGGAGGGTCGGAAGGCACACTTGGCGCTCGGTCTCGTCCCCTGCTTGGCACGTCGTCGAGGCGGAAGTGTGCTCGGCGATCTTCGGGCCGGTTCGGTGGCGCTCGGGCGCGCCGGCGCGGTGTCCGGGACCGCGCGCCTAGCGCGGCGGCTCAGGGCCTGAGGGCGCCACTGGCCCGGTGGCGCGTCGTTCAAACGACGTAACGGCTTGCCCGTCACACCCTCCCCCTCCGTAGAAAGGGTTGTTTCCTCGTCGTGTCGTGCCTCTGTGTAGTCCTTGTGGAGTGCGTGCTATGTGATGTATTGCGTCTGGTTTTGTGTGCCCTTTGTTGTGTGCGAGTTCCGTTGTATGTGTCTCTTGGTGTGTGTGTGTGTGTGTGTGTGTGTGTGTGCCTCCAGCCGTGTGCCTCCTTCCTGTTGTGGGTGTGGGTCTTGCTGTGTGGTTGTGTGTGCCGTATGTTACATGTGCCTACCGCTGTGACTTTTGGTGTGTGTGTGTCTTTTATTCCGTCCCTCGTTCGGTTGTTTCGTCCGTATGGCCTTTGTTGTATTTGTACTCTTATGCTAATTCCTACGTGTGCGTGTTGTTTGTGTTACAGGGGTTGTGTAGTGTGTTTGCTATCCTAACCTACGGTTTGTGTTTTGTACTTGTTCTTTCTTAATGTAGTCTTAATCCTAACGGAGGTCGCTTAATCCTCGGCGCGTGAATAGTATCCTACTCTAAATTAATTCTAATGTGTTCTCTATGGTCTTATTAAAATCCTAGCCCTATTGTCCTATCCTAAGGTAGCTGTGTTCTATTTTGTCGTAGTGTAATTCTACATCTCCTATGAGATCGCTTAATTGTACTTGTCCTCATTCTAGTCCTAAAATCTATGTCGCAAAATGTATTACCCTAACCATACGTGTATGTTAAAAAATGTGAAAAATTAATGCTATTATTAATTTTTTTTTTTCTATGTATCTCTGTGTTTGGCTATCTATTCCTATTCTTATATGACTACGTGTGGATTGTTTGTCTTATGTCTATTGTGTTACTTTTATGTGTTGTTTGTGTGTATTTGATGTGTGTGCGTTAGTCTTGTTCGTTTGCAGTGTGGTATTCATCTGAGTCGTCTTTGTCCGTACTCGTGTTGCGCTTATCTAGTGTCTGTTTGGCGTCTCTGTTGTCGTGTATTTTGTTTATTTGGTTTCGTGGTAGGCGGATGAATTGTCGGTTTTTTGTTAGATTGTGTCTGTCCCGTGCTACGTGTCCATGGTGTGTTTTGCGTTTCTCTGTTTCTTTTCGTTCTGTACAACTGTCTTCTGGTCGTTGTTTTGGTTGTCCTAGTTTTGGGTGTCCTGTGAATGGGTTTGGGTCTATGTTTGGTTTGTCTGCGTAGTATTCCTTGAGTTGGAGTGTGTATAATCGTTGTTCTTCTTCTGTGCGTGTGGGTTCGTATGGGTTGTGCCGTGTTGGTGTGTCTGATGTGGCTTGATCTGTATTGTGAGTTTCGTTGGTGTGTCTAGTGAGTGGTATGTGTGGTGTGGGTCGTGGAATGGTTCCTTTTGCCTGAAAGCGGAATTGTGCCGTTTCGTCGTCCGAGTCGTGTTGTGTGTGTGTGTGATGTTTTCCTTTTGTGTTGTCGTAGGTGGGTGTTGTGTTTGTGGCATTGGTGGCTGTGTTGGTTCGTCGTCGTCCCAATTTTCGGTCTGTGTGTACAGGGTTGTTGGTATTGGTGGTGTCTGGTATCTTTGGTTGTTGGTTTGTTGTATTGGTTTGTCGTCCCAGTTTTCAGTGTTTGTGTGTTGGATCGTCGGGAGTGGTGGTAAGCGGTATCTGTAGGTGGTGTCCTCGTCCTTGTTTGCGTGTTCCGTTATTGTGTTGATGTGTTGGGTCTGAGTGCGAGGTGTTTCCGGTGTCGGGAGAAGTGTTCTCCGTTGCGTTAGTGGTGTGTCGATGTGTTGGGTGTGCGTGGTGGGTGTCAGTCGATGGGTTCTGTGTGTGTTGGGTTGTGGTCGTGTGGTGTATAGGTGTGGGTTCGGTGGGATGTTCGGTGTCGGTAGAAGTGCTCTACGAGGTGTGTTTGGTGTTGGTAGGAGCGTCCTATGTGGTGTGTCTGTGTTTGGTGTGATGTCTTGTGTGTGCGTGATGGTGCATGTTATTGTTCGCTGTGTAGTGTGGTCGGTGGAGTGTATCGTGATGCGAGTTACGATTTGTGGGGGTGTATTAGTTGGTGATCGTGATGATGGCATGCGTGGTCTATCTGGGCGGCTCATGATTGTTGTTTCGTTTAACCTGTAATAATGGAGTGCATTAGTGTGAGTAGGGTGAAATATTGTTGGTTATTTCTTTCTAGGGCTGTAAATATAATTTAAAATCTTGGATATGTGATCGTCCGGCTGATTTTCCGGTTTCTGTGGTTAGTTCATAAATTGTGGGGGAAATTATTTTTGCTATGATGAACGGGCCTGTATATTTGTGTGTTAGTTTCGTTGCAATGTGATCTACTGCGGAGGAAAGGGTTCTGTTTCGGTTTAGTACTTTATCTCCTATTTTGTACTGTATGTCTCGTCGGCGTAAGTTGTAATGGTGTGCTTGTTTGTCGTATGCGTCTTGTTGGTTTCGTAATGTTTCGTCGTGTATTATTTGTAGTTGCTGGATTCGTTGTATCCATTTGTCAATGGTTTGTTGGTCCAGGGTGGATGAGCCTTCTATTCTGTCTCGTAGTGAGTGAGTCGGTGAGAGTTCCCTGCCCAAGTTGAAGAATGCCGGTGAATATTTTGTAGATGTTCGTGGTGTCGCGTTATATGCGAATTGAAAATTGTGTATGTCTGTCCCAGTCACGTTGGTCTTCTTGTATGTAGGCTTGTATCATTGTCTTCAGGGTTCTATTTGTTCGCTCCACTGGGTTTGCTTGTGCGTGGTATGGTGGTATTGTCATGTGTTTTATGTTATACGCGTGGGTAAGTTGTTTGATGGTTTTGTTGATGTATGGTGTGCCGTTATCTGTCCATAATATTTTTGGGGTGCCCCATCTGTTAATAACTTGTGTTTGGAATGCTTGTTCTACTGTCCTGGCGTTGGCTTTACGTACGGGTATGAGTTCGACCCATTTAGTGTAAGTGTCTTGAAAAACGATAAGGTATTGGTTTCTATTCTTTGATGGGGGTAGTGGGCCTATGATGTCTGATGCTACGAGTGTCCATGGCTCTTCGATGATATGTCGTCCTATTTTCCCTTTTGGCAGTTGTTGTTCGACTTTAATTCTTTGACAAATGTCACAGTGACGTACGTAATTTACCGTGTCTCGGTACATTCCCGGCCAGTAATAGTCCTGGGTGATTTTGGCGTAGGATTTTTCGATGCCCGGGTGGCCGGCTTGTGGTAGGGTGTGGTTTTCGTGAAGGATGGTGTGTTGTTGGGGTTTTGGTATTGTTAGTTTCCATGCTTTTTCGTCCGGTAGTATGTCGCTGTGCAGTATTGTAGGTCTGTAGAAGTATAGTTGTCCGTTTTATATTTTCCAATTTTGGTGTGTTTCTGGGTGTTTCTGTACTTGTCTGAATTTATTCGCGTACCAGTTGTCTTCTTGTTCTGTTATACTTGATACCTGTTCTTGTGTTTCGTGGATGCGGGAAAGTGCGTCTGGTACGTGGTGTGAAGCTCCTTTGCGGTGAATGATTGTATGATTGTATTCCAATAGTTGGAGTGCCCACCTTGCTAGTCGGCCGGTGGGGTTCTGTAGATTATGTAGCCATTGGAGGGCGCTGTGGTCAGTAATTATAGTGACATTTGTGCCTTCTATGTAGGGTCTGAATTTTTGTACTGCAAAGATAACTGCTAGGCACTCGATTTCTGTCGTGGTATAGTTCTGTTCTGCTCGTGTAAGGCTTCTACTAGCGTATGCAATGACGTGTTCACTGTCGTTTATGTTTTGTGTTAGGACTGCTTCTAGTCCTGTTCCGCTTGCGTCCGTCTGCATTGAGAAGGGTTGCGTGAAGTCGGGGTGTGTGAGCGTCGGTGGTGTGGTTAAAGCTTCTTTGATTATTTCGAATGCGGCTTGTTGTTCTTGTCCCCAGGTCTATGGTTGTTCTTTTCGTAATAGTCGTGTGAGGGGTTCAAGTTTGGTTGCGAAGTTGGGGATAAATCGTCTGTACCATGATGCCATGCCAATCAGTCTGCGTATGTGTTTGATGTTTTTGGGTGTCGGGTAGTTTCGTATGGGTTCTGTTTTCTTAGGGTCAGTTTGGAGTCCGTCCTTATTTACTCTGTATCCTAGGTATGTAACTTCCGTGCATCCGAACTCGCATTTGTCCGGGTTGATTGTGAGTCCGGCCTGTGTGATTTTCGTTAAGATGTGTTGTATCCAGTGGATGTGTGTTTCGAATGTGTCTGTAGCTATGATAATGTCGTCTAAGTATGCGAATGCGTGCGGTTCCATGTCTGGTCCTATGAGTCTGTCTAGTAGTCGTTGGAATGTGGCTGGGCCGTTAGTTACTCCGTACGGCATTCGTTTAAAGTGAAATAATCCTTTCCCGGGGGCTGTGAAGGCTGTAATTTCTTTACTGTCTGGGTGTAGTGGGATTTGGAAGTACGCTTGTGATAGGTCGATTTTTGTTAACATTGTTGCGTTAACTTTCCTAAAGTCAATGCAGAATCGGTAGGTGTTATTGGGCTTCTTGATCATGACGATCGGGCTGGACCATTCACTGTGTGAGGGTTCTATTATGTCGTCTCGTAACATTTTGTCGATTTCCTCGTGCATGGCTTGTTTGATATGTTCAGATGTTCTGTATGCTCTTTGTTTAATGGGTTTACTGTTCTGTGTCTCTATTTGGTGTTTGACTAGGTGAGTGTGTCCTAATTTTGGGTTTCGAGGAATGATGTGTTGAACGATTCTTTTGATGATGGTTTGTTGGTTGTCTGTCAGCTCCGATATTCCGTGGCATTCCGTACAGGTGTTGTTACTTTTGTCTGTCTTGGTCTTGGTTTGTACTGGTTTGATATTGTTGCTTTGCTGTGGTGTGATCGTATCTTGTTGTGTTGTTGTGGCTCGTGTGGGGTGTGTTCGTGTGTGTGTGTGTGTTTTGGTGTTCGTGTATAGGAAGGGGTTAGGTGGAATGTTGGGGGTTGGTAGTAATGCTGGTCGTGTGTGTGTGGGTGTGTTCAGTTCCGTTAGGGTGTGTTCTTCTTGGTTTTTTGTTACCGTCTTTGGTGTCGTTATTTGTGCTGTTGATTGTGCTCTGGGTTTGTCGGCGGGTGTATCTGGTTTCCTATTGGTTTGTGTTCCCTGGGTTTTGAGGTGTGTCTGTGGTTGTGGTAATGACGATGGGTCTGTCTCGATGGGGTATCGGATGTGTGGCTCGTCGGGAAGGGACCATGTTCTGGTGTTGAAGTCGATCTTCATGCGTGTGTCCGTCAAGGTGTCCATTCCCAGGATGCAGTTGTATGTGAGGTCTGGTACTAGTCTGGCGTTTGTAATGTATGTTTGGCTTCCTATTGTGATTGGTGTTAGTATAATGGTTTCGATAGTTGTTGTTTGCCCATTGGCAACAGTGATGAGGTTATTTGAGGGTGTGGCTGTGGGTAATTGTAAGTTTTTGAGATGTTCTCCTATTGTTTTGTTAATGTATGTGTGTGTAGCCCCTGTGTCGACTAGTGCGTATACGATGCAATTCGTAATTTTTATTGGTAGGAACCATCTATTCATTTTGTCCGATTGCATGTTTGCGTCCGCGTGATGTGATACGTTTTTGGCTTTTGTTAGGGGAGGTATTGTAGTCGTCAATGTCCTCCCCTCCTGTCGTTTCCCTGGTTCTGGTTTTGTTGTGGTCGTCGGTTTGGGCAGTCTTTAATGAAATGTTCGGGTGATTTGCAGTGGTGGCATGTTGGTCGATGGTCTGTCTCTATGGGGAATGTGATCCTCGGTCGTTGCGGTGTGGGTGGTAGTGGTGATATGTAGCGTTGTCGTGGTTGATATGGTGTTTGATTGGTGAAGGTGGATGTGTGTGGTAGTGGTGATCTGTAGTGTTGCCGTGGTTGATATGGTGTCTGATTGGTGAAGGTGGGTGTGGGGTATCTATTGTGCGGTATGTCGGATCTCGGTTGGTATTGCCGGTATGGTGAACAATGTGTCTGTTCTGCTTGCAACTTACTGTGTTCCCATTCTTTTCCTAGGTCTTCTAATTGTATCAGGTCGGTGAAGTCTCGTCTCTGTATCCGTGCTTTGTATTCTAATGTTAGGTTGTCGTACGCAATGTATAAAAGTCTGTCGGATGGCATGGGAGGTTTAAGCTGTTCTGCGAGGGTTTGCAGGTGTAGTAAGTAATCTGTAATAGGTTGGTTTGGGTGTTGCATGTACCTCTCGATTTTTCGTTGCAGTATATTCATATAATCTTGTCCCTGGAATTTTTTCCGGATCTGTTCCTCGAAATCCTCAAATGAGTTCCAATTTTTTCTATGTATGTTATACCAGTGTTTTGCGTTGTCTTTCAGTAGTACGAAGATGTTGTCTAATAATTGGTTATCGGTAAATACGTAGCTGTGTTGTAATTGTCGTATCGTGCTGAGGAAAGTGTGTAGGTTCTCATGTGCCTGACCTGCATATGAAACTTTCCATGTGTTAATGGTGTGAATTGGTGGTTTGTAGTATGGTAGGGGTGGGGGTGTATATGTGTGTGAGTTGCTGTATGATTGGGGCCATTGGGTTACTTGTGGAAGTGGTTGTGTCATTTGATTGTGTGGGTGGGGTGGTGTGTGTTTGTTGTGTGTCAATTTGTTGGTTTAGTGTAGGTGGTGTGTTATGTGGTATGTACGTGTTAGGTTGTGTGTCAGTTTGTTGGTTTAGTCTTGGTGGTGTGTCATGTGGTATGTAAGTATTAAGTTGTGGGGGGGGTGTTGTTTGGGTGTATGTCGTGTGTCATTCCGTTGGTTCAGTCTTGGTAGTGTGTCATGCGGTATGTAAGTGTTATGTTGTGGGGGGGGTGTTGTTTGGGTGTGTGTGTATTGTGTAGTGTGAGTGGGTGTCCTGTTTCGTGGCTCTATGAAGTGGTCTGATTCTTGTATTTGGAGTGGCTCTAACTGTGCTGGGATGAGAGTTCGTCGTCTATGTTGTCTTATTTGTATGTTGTGTAAATCAGTGGTATATTTTTGTAAAGTGTCTTGTAATAAGTGTATTTTTCTTTCTAAGTCCTCTGTTTCGCGTCGTTTGTCAGTGTTGGGGTTGTGTGACTGTGTTTCGTAATTGGATGTGGTG